TGATATTGGCTTCAACTAGCAATTTGCTCTCGCTCTAGTTCAATATTGTTAGTCTCTGGCCTTGTAACTGCTTGGTGCAGTCAGTATAATGGCTGGGGAACGTGATGCTCGTGCGAAGGAGCGTGCAATCCTGCGTAGGGACCAAGTCATCGCTCGAATTCGCCAGATACACATATTGGCCACAAGCTCAGCTACTGATGAAGYTAGTAGAGCTCAATTAGCTGTGGCTATCGTCGATATTGATGGCTTGTGGGCCAGCTTTGTTGCTGAGAACAATAATCTTCTAGACATACTTACTGAATCGGATTTGTTGGGGGAGTTTTCTGTGAACTTGGAAACTGAGATTCGTGCTTTGGTGGTAGAAGCTAAGGCCTTGTACAAGGCRTCTCAACCAACTCCAATTCTTAGCGTCGGTACGGTTCAACAAGTACCGTATGATGGTATAATTGATCAAGCAAGTTCTTCTGCTGAGGGGTCGTCCAAGGGTTGCCCAGYACCCTACCCTCCGTTGGCTGTGGCACCTATGAGGTTGCCTGAAATTCCCCTGCCTACTTTTGATGGTGAATGCCAGAACTGGYCAGCCTTTAGGGACATGTTYGTCAATTTGGTGGCTAACAACGATAAGATCCCGAACGTTACCAAGTTTTATTACCTCGTGGGGTGTCTACAAGCTGATCCGCAAGAAGTCATCAAGGGATTTTCGATATCGAATGAGTCTTTTACTCTTGCCTGGGACGCCTTGATCGAACGCTACGATAAGCCGCGCAGGTTAGCATCGTCAATAATTGAAAAGTTAATCCTGATAGTCAGAAAACCTTGTTGTTATTTAATTGCTTTGTAAATTGCCTTACTTCACAACCGTCCTGAGAACCGCGTACCAGGCGATGCTGGTTTTAAGGATCGCCGGGTCAACAATAGAGTTAAGACAAAATAAAGAGTTAGGTATCTAATTTACTGAAATTGGAAATATTATAATTATTCAATGTGTTTGGCTTATATACGTTTGAAAAGTGTGATTTAAAAACATTGACTATCTCAGAGCCAGAGCAGGTTTCTTTATCCAGATATGACATAACTGCAGGTAACTGTAACGATGATTTTTGTGAGTTATAAAATTTCCAAAAATGTTTTGGGTTAGTTTTAACTGAGTTTTGAGTGTTATTAATATATATATATATATTGGATACTCTATGGTCTCGATCCAATAATACTATTTAATTAATTGGTCTTTGGATCTTTGCTCGATCCGACTGTGTCACAAATCGAAACAGTGATACCAGAATAACAAAAA